GCCCCTGGGTACTGCTCGGGCCTAGGGCGGACTTTCCCATGGTCTCGCTCCTCCACCTCTGGCCCCTGACTCTTTCCCATATCTGGATAAGCGAGGCCAGATGAAGGACGGAGGGCTCTGTTGCTGCAGGGCGGGGGGCTACCTAAGGTCCAGCCTGGCTCGGGAAGACAACTCGGGAGAGCAAGAATGTAGGGGTGCGAGGAGGTCGTGAGGTCTTTTGAGGCAGCCACAATTTACTGTAATGGCTCTTCTGCCTCAATTCCCCGATGGGGCTCAGAGAAAGTTGCCAGTGATCTGGATTTGGCTCAAGGTCAGTCTGGGGTGTGGGGTCTTGTCTGTCCTCCTCCATAAAGTTTGTCTTGGATGGGACTTCATCCCATGAGCAAACCCTGGGGTTGCAGAGTCCTGAACAAGAGGGCTGCTGGATCCCAGTGGGGCCCGCCCAGCCGGGGCAACCCCAGGATTCTTCAGCGTCCACCGAGAGCAGGAGGAGGGAGCTCACAATTCACGAAAATATCCAGTGGCCACTGGTCTTGGGAGGGCGGGAGTCAGGAACCAGAGGAGAGCCGGAGCTGGAGCCGGGGCTAGAAATCCGGGCTCTCTCTGAGTCTGGGCACAGGAAAGGAGGGGGTGCCCCCTGCGGTGCTGGTTACCTCGGGGAGGGGGCTTTGCAGCTTTGTTTCCTCTGTACTCTCCAACGCAGGCTCCCGTTTTTTGGTGATAAGCTTATAATGCTTTTATAATTAGAGGAAAAACAATAACTTTTTTTTTTAACGATAACATTTTTAAAAGGCGTTTGGAAAGTTAGTGGGAACTAATGGAGGCCACAGGAAAGAGTCGGAAGTAGGAAAATCCCAGGCAAGCAGAACCACAGATCAAATCAGTAGGCCTGCTGAGGTTGTCCAGCCTGTCCACTGACTTCACAGTCAAGGATGCAGCGTTGCAGGGAGTGGAAATGACTTGCCTGGAGTCGCTGGGGGCGCGGGCTCTAGAATGCCGGGGTTCTCACGCCCAGGGCAGGGTCCCGCCCGGCCAAGCTCAAGGTGTGCTTGGGGGGGATCTGGGTTCTGGCCTCGTAGCTGAACACCCCTCATCCCCCATCCCGGGAGCTCATCCAGAGCAGGGAATAAGCAAACCCAGTTCAGGGCGACGTAAAGGACTCCTGCGATTGCTCCCTAGGGCTCACCCGGTTAGGCGGGCCCGGGGTGGGAGGTCACCAGTGCTTGTGTGGGCCTGGCCTCCTGCCCCAAAGAGTTCTCCTGAGGGGAAGGGGCATCTGTGCCTTGCTGGTCTTGTGGGAGGAGCTTATGCATGTGTGTCTGTGTGTGTGTGTGTGGGGGGGGGCGTCATGAGGGTAATCAGCCAGCTGCCCCCCTCAACCAAGGAAAGAAAACCCCAGAGCCTGCATTCTAGCCCCTTGGGGAGTGCAGGCACAGGGCAGGGCCGTCCCTGTCCTGGAGAGCACCCGTCAGGCCCCGAGGGGGCTCCAGGCCACCGTGGTTTTATTCTTCACCGAGGTGTGAGCAGGGGAGGAAGGGAGAGCTGCGAGGGGCAGAGTGGAGGAGGATGGGTGACGGGCAGGAGAGGCCTGGAGCCCGGCCAGTCGGCAGGGCAGAGCTGGGTGAGCCAGACGGGCCGCCAGTCTGGGGGAAGCTGCGAGCACAAAGGGGTTCTTTTGTGGGCACCTGAGAGCCGACGTCCACGCAGGGACAGGTCTTATGGGTGACACATGTGTCTACCCAGCAGATCAAGAAAATGAGAGGCTTAGGCTGGGGAGGAGGATGCAAGGAAAACATCTCAGGCAGGACGGCGGGAAAGGGCTCGCCAGCTGTGGGCCTGGCTTCCCAGGAAGGCAGCGCAGGGAGTGCCCGACGGAGGGCAGAGAGGGGCACTGGAGCCCCCAGACGCCCCGCAGAGCATTTGGGGCTCCTTTCCGCTTGAGTACCTGGAGCAAGGTGGGCTCGCTCTGTCCTCTGCAGGGGGCCCGGCCCTCCCCAGCCGAGTGCTGGGACTGAAGTTGGAGTCCAGCCGTGGCTCCCGGGTCACCCGGCCGCCGCTGTGGGAGTCGGCCCCCCAGTGCTGAGATGCAGGCTGGGGAGCCAGAGCCAGTGCTGCTTCCGCTGGGTGCTTCTCCCACTGGCTGAGTGTCGCTGACCTCCAGCTCGCCCTGCACCCTTTCCCGAGAGCCCCGTTGCCACCTCTCCGTCCGCAGGCCTCTGTCCCAGGGCTCCCACCTCCCTGAGTTGTGGGGTGTGGCCCAGTGGCCCAAGCGGTCAGCGTGAGCCCAGCGGTGTGCCACTCGGTAACTGGGCCCCTGAGGACTCAAGTGGCCGCCTGCGGTGCGGGGCTGGGGGAGTCCCCACCCTCACTCGATGCCAGGGAAGGAGCAGACCTCAGAAATCCGACTCTGGTGCTGCTCCACTTGGTTGGGGGCCCAGGGCCAGGACAGAAGCCCCAGATTTCAAGCTTTGGGGACTTAAGTCCCTGCAAGGAGCCTTGCCTTTGCCCTGCCCAGGAAACCATCCTGGATGGTTGGGTGTCTCTTTGACAGCTGGAAGCACTGCTTCGTGACCCCACCCATGTTCTCTGCAGCTGTCACAGTCTCCCATTGTGCCCCTAAGTAAACAAGCCTTGGACAGAATAAAACTGTTATTGTAGGGTCAACATATAGGAGCCCTATTTGGCCGGGATTTGTTTGGGAATGCAGAGACTGCCCCAAGCAGGCCTCACACCCTCTGAAAAAATGCCCCCCCTGGACCGTGTAGAATTGCTAGGCTTGTCCCAGAGAAGGTGGTGACAACCTGCAGCAAGATTCTGTATGGGCCTGTCCCAGGGGGCACCCGGGGCTGTGAGCCACCCTCTCCCAGGGCCAGACTGGGCCTCAAGCCCCTTGGTCAGGGAAGCCTTCCTGACCTCACCCTGCGTGCCCCTGCCCCCCCCACCTGGCCTCCCTCCGTATTCTTAAGACTTGAGAACCTCTGCTTTGTGGTCACTTTGCGGCTGCAATATAAAAATCCTGTATTTATTTCATCAGTGGCCTGCTGCTCCCCTAGATTTTGAGCTGCAGGTGCATAGGGGTGTCTGTTTAGTTCACTGCTGGATTTCCAACACCTGATGCAGGGCCGGGCGCGCAGCAGGTGTTCCTAAATCCCCATGCTTGCATGAATGAACGTATGCAGCCTCTTTGAGCCTGTCAGTTTGCTCTGGGTGCTCCTTGATGCGGACCAGACCACTGGACACCGCTCTTGGGCCTGCACCCCCAAACCTCCCCAGAGGGGGTGACGGTCGGTGTCTCCTCTGGGGCGATGCCTGACTGGGTGTGCAGGATGGTTGCTTCACAAGGGTGGCTGTGCGTAGTGCCACGGCACATGGCTAGAGCCTCCACTGGGCCCTGGTGCCTCCTGTGTCTGCATTCCCAAATGGGCCTTTCTGGAAGGGTCTCAATGAAGCCATTCCTCTCCTCTGCGTTTGTCGGGTCAGTGTCAGGATCCGACAACATTTCGAAGCCCCAGACCTCTTTGTTCATTGGCCAGTGTGACTGCTGTCCTTGAGTATGTCTCTTTCAAGCTAAGGGTTGGTGTCACTTCAGCAACGTCCCTCAGAAACCATGCTGCTCCGTCCCTCATCCTGGTATCCTCCAGGGACCCCTGTCTGTTTCTCTCAAGGGAAGAACCATCTCTAAGAGGCTGTCCCTGTCACTCCAGGACTCTGTGCTTCTCTCTTGGTGATTCTCAGGGTCCCCATGTGTCTGAGTGAGGACCCCCCACCCCCACCCCTCAGGCTCTCACTCAGGGTGGCTTGAGGGCCATGGCATGGGGAAGGGGCACAGTTACACTTATTTTTTTTTTTTAAGATTTTCATGAGAGACACAGAGAGAGAGGCAGAGACATAGATAGGGGGAGAAGCAGGCTCCCTGCGGGAAGCCTGATGCGGGACTCGATCTCAGGACCCCGGGATCATGACCTGAGCCAAAGGCAGATGCTCAGCTGCTGAGCCACCCAGGTGTCCCCAGTTACACTTATAAAGGGACTTGCCGAGCCAGTTCCAACTGTGGGGTCGGGGTTCAAACGGGGCTGTCCTCAGTGGGGCCTCAGGCCACCCGGCCCAACCCCGCAGCTCCCCCAGGCAGGCCTGGCTTCCTTCCCTTGGGGCAGATCCTCTCCTGGTTGGCCCCCTCCTCCGCAGCCCCCCCCCCCACCTTTCTCCGAGTGCCTCCCTCTGTTTCCCCTAGCAGAGTCTGTCCCTCAAGTCTGGCGTGGTGCCTACAACTCTAGTCTCCTCCCCCACTCATGGCCAGCACCACCCCGTCCAGGTCAGCTCCAGGACCCGGGACCCCCAGCTATGGGCAATGTAGAGGCTCCCCCGGGCCCTCCCATCCTGAGTCCCAGGACCCCTCCCCGAGGCTGGCCCAGCTCGGTCGCTCCCCCCGACACCTGCAGCCCTGGCCGTCCTGTGCCCCCCAGGAACAGGCCTTGGGTGGGGGAGGGGTCGGGCATGCCCTGCCCCCCACACTGCCTGCCCGTGGGCAGCGTGCTCAGCCTGGTGATGCGGTAGCGGCGGGTGGGGGGGGCTGTCTGGACACAGGCCCCTTTGTGCCCAGCCCGACTTGGCTGCTTGGTATGAGGCTCAGCTGCTCCCAGATCCTCACCCAGAGGGGAGAGGGGAGGCTTTGGAGGGGCTGGGGCTGGGGGGCTCTGGGCCCGAGCTCCCCCTGGGCGTCCCACCTCTCAGATGTTGGCAGCAGCTCCTCAGGTGGGCTGGTACCCCTGGCCCAGGGCGGGGGACCCGGTGACAGACGCCCTGCTTGGCGCCCTCTGGCCACCACTCCTCCCTTCTCCCCTTCTCTGCCAGGGCGGCCAGCGCTCCTGCCAGCAGAGGGGAAGCCCGGGTGGGGGTGGGGGCTTGCAGGGTCCACGGTGGCCCTGCTGGGCGAGGCCCAGAGGGCCAGGCACGGGAGCACAACTGCCTTTCTGATGGTAGCTTCTCTCCTGTCCCCACAGAATGGTGCTGTGCCCAGCGAGGCCACCAAGAGGGACCAGAACCTCAAACGGGGCAACTGGGGCAACCAGATCGAGTTTGTACTGACGAGCGTGGGCTATGCCGTGGGCCTGGGCAATGTTTGGCGCTTCCCATACCTCTGCTATCGCAACGGGGGAGGTACCCAGCGGGCACAGGGCAGGGACCACCCACTTGGATAAAGCCTACCCACTAAGGCCCGGGCTACCCCCTCCCTGGCACGGTCCCCACCCCAGACAGGCTGGCCTCTGGCTCTCAGCTCCCCCGCCCCAGTCCCTGGCTTAGGTACCCTTTACCTAAGGCTCAGCTCACCCCTTGACCCTGGCTGTCTGCTGTCTGGGCCTGACCCTGCTAGCCTGCTCCTGTGGGGTCAAGAGAGGGAGAGAAAGGCACTCCAGCCTCCCGAGGTTGTTCCCTGATACCCACTGTGTGTCGACAGCCCCCTAAATGGTTCGGGGAATTTGAGGATCCCAGCGACTTCTGTTTGTGAATTTGCTGGGTTAAGCTATCAAATCCCCCCTAACATGGTGGGTCTGGGGCCTGGGTTCTGCTTGGGGAGCGTCTGTCAAATTCAGAGACACACTGTGGGTAGGATACCTCAGACCCAGGCTCCTGCTCAGTGCGTGGTCTCAGCCGATCGCAAAGGTTTTGCTGTTGGGTTCTCAGCAGGAAGAGGGGGGGACCCCCCAGGCCCGCCCTGAGCCAGCCCTTTCCCTGCCTGCCAGGCGCCTTCATGTTTCCCTACTTCATCATGCTGATATTCTGTGGGATCCCTCTCTTCTTCATGGAGCTCTCCTTTGGCCAGTTTGCAAGTCAAGGCTGCCTGGGGGTCTGGAGGATCAGCCCCATGTTCAAAGGTGAGGCCTGGATGGGGTTCACGCCTCCCTACACACACAGCACGCACGCGCGCTCAGGCCTCTGGGGGCCTACTCACCCATCTGTACAAACACTGCCAACCCCCGCAGAGCCCTAGTGCTCCCCTCAAGCCCTCCATCAATGGCCAAGGCCACAGATGCATGCTGAGCCCCCTGTTTACTTGGCCTCCACCCTCCCCACCTACCATGTGTATATACAAAGGCCCTGGGCCCTCCAGCTCACCCCTGCTAAGGCCTTGACCTGTCCTCTCTACGGGCCTCCCTAAAAGCCTACCCCGTGAGCCCTTCACAGTTAACCCTGCCTTCTCCAGCTAGAGGTCTGAGGCCACTCCCCTGCCCTCCCCCCCCAGGTGTGGGCTACGGCATGATGGTGGTGTCCACGTACATCGGCATCTACTACAACGTGGTCATCTGCATCGCCTTCTACTACTTCTTCTCGTCCATGACGCACGTGCTGCCCTGGGCCTACTGCAATAACCCCTGGAACACGCCCGACTGCGCTGGGGTGCTGGATGCCTCCAACCTCACCAACGGCTCCCGGCCTGCTGCCCTGCCCAGCAACCTTTCCCACCTGCTCAACCACTCCCTCCAGAGGACCAGCCCCAGCGAGGAGTACTGGAGGTGAGGCCCCACTGGCCTGGGCTGGGGGGACACCAGGTGCCAAGCCGCAGCTCTCCCCCTAGCCATCAGGCAAGTCTGTGCTGCCCAGGTGGGGTGCCGGGAACCGAGCAGAGGGGCGCAAAGGTGCACAAGGAGTTTGCAGAGGAGCTCAGAAGAGGCTGACACCGTGGGACTGTGGAGGACAGGATGCTGAGTGAGGGGCCTTGCAAGGGGTGGTGAGGGAGCTCCCCTCCAGCAGTCGGGCAAGTCAGCAGAGCAGAGCCGGGGGGTGGGGGGGTTGGGGAGCAGGGTGGCCTCCTGGTGAGATCAACGGGAGCCGAGGCCTTAGGTCCCAGAGGAGCAGAGCCGGTCCTGACACAGGGCAAGCTGTTCTGATGAGACTCTCCGGTGTGTGGGAAGCTCATGGAAGCTCACGGCGGTGGAAGGGGGCCTAGGAGGGGCCCCCGGCCTTCGAGGAGAAGGCACATGAATTGAGCTTCGACTTAGCAGCAGAGCAGAGGGAACCATAGACGCCTCCTGAGGCCAGGGCCGTCATCATCAAGCTTCGGAAAGACAGCCTGGCCCTACTTTGCTCTGTGGTGACAGACACTGGAGTCTCAGGGCTGGCTGCCCACAAGCTGCCCCTGGAGGTGTTCTGGAACACCTTGTCCCAGCGGGCCAGGCGTGAGGGCAGAGTGGGGCTTCCCAAAGGAAACTCCTCATGTCCTGTTGGGCAACCTGTGGGAAGAGAGTGTTGGGGGCCCGAGGGTAGGCCGCATGGATGCGTTCCATATCCACATGGTCTGCTCTGCGAGGCCCCGTGTGCCCACGGGGTCTGAAGAGCCTGGAGCCCCCTAGCCTGAGGAGTTCACAGTCCTGAGGGGGGGTCATATTAAGGCAGGTGCCTAGGTGTCTGGATGCTCAGGTGTGTGGTAGGGATACAAAGAGGAGGTGGCCACTTCTGGGCAGACGGGGCCAAGAGGAGGTGGCCCAGAGGGCTGCCCTAGGAGGGAGGAGGGAGGCATAGCAGGGCTGGGAGAGACACCTGGGCAGGTGAGCCATGGCTGGGAGGTGGCAAAGTGGAGACGAGTGGGACAGGAGCCACGCCAGGCCGAGGTTCGACGTTTTACCACCACGTGGTAGAGAGCCAGGGATGAGATGGCCAAGGCCCCGGGGAGCCTGGAGTCCTAGCAAGTCAGTAGCCTCCAAGCCCGGTGCCAATGCTCCGACCCCACAGGGCCCAGTGTCCCTGTGCCAGCCTCTGGGCTGTGCCACAACCATCCAAAGACAGCTAAGATGTGGTCACTACCCACAGGGCTGGTGGTGTAGACAACAGTGCTGCTGCCTCCCAGCGAGGGGCAGGCACAGTGACCTCTAGGCCAACTCAGTCACTCAGTCACTGGACAGATAATTTCTTGAGCACCTAGTGGGTACCAGACACTGCACTCAGAGGGGATACAGTGTGAGGACTGAGACTCACAGATCCTTCCCTCGTGGAGGTCCCGTCTACTGAGAGGACTAAGCAAATTCCTGCCCAGTTAGGTATTCAACTACGTCTTAGGCATGGTGTGGGCAAGGCAATGTGATGTACACCAGGGATGGGTGTGAACCTGGGGAGCACAAGGCCTCACCCACACCCAGGGGCAGCTCTAGAAGCTCCCACCCCAGGGGCTGTGGGTCAGGGAGTCCCAGCTGGCTAGGACCAGTCAGGGCAAAGTTCTGCAGATTTTACCCAGTGCGATCAGAGGGGAATAGCCCTCAAAGAGAACTGGTCATGGGTTGGGGGGCCCACTGGGGGACCCACTGAACTCTCCTCCATCCGCCTAACTAGGGGCAGTCCCAAGGGACTCCTTCCTTGCAGGATGGCTCCCTGCTGCCCCCTCCTGGAAAACCTGGGGAAATGACCCTTGAGAGGCCTGCCCAGGTTGGCTTTGGGCAAAGGAAGCGAGGAGAGCAAGCCCCCCCATCTCCAGGGCACCCACTGTGTGCCAGGCCTATTGCCTATTATCTCCTATAATATTATCCTTATTTTTAAGATTCAGGGACTGATGTTCAGAGGTTAAGGAACTAGGCAGCTGTGCCGGGGCAAGATATGTGCGTCCACTGTGCCTGGCCCGGGTACGAATTAGGCCAATGATGCTCTGCAGGTGCTCTTGGTCCACACTCTCCAAACCCCTTTGGAAAGCTGTGTGATCGCATTCGAGCCCCACAACAGCCTTGCTCGCTAGCTCGTGCAGGCAGTATGAAAGAGTCCCCCTTTACAAACGAGGGAAGCAACTCAGAAAAAAGATTGAGAGACTCCTCTATAGCAAGAGAAGCACAGGAGACAGATTTCGGAGCCTCAGTCTGCCTCCTACCCACCCTCTGGCCCATGGTCTCCTTTCTCCCAGCAGCCCTGTGGCCTTGTTTTATGGTCATCTGTGTGCTGGTCTGATTCTGGCCCGGAGGCCCTAAGTAATGACTGCGTCCTCACCTCTACAGTGGTGCACAGTGAGACTCGGGGCCCCCCAGCCCACTCCCTGTGTCTTCACGGCGGCTCTGGAGTTGCACAGACCCCACTCACGCCATGGCTCTGTGGCTTATCAGCTGTCTGGCCATGGGAGATCACCAAACCTAAGTCATAGCCGTTCATCCATTAAAATGGGGGGGGGCGGGGTTTGAAACAAGCCAGATGCTTGTTGTTATGAAGAGGACATGAGATCACACAGCATCGCCACTAAGAACAGTGATGGGAGCCCAGGAAGCACAGTGATGTAGCCGCTGCTGAGATGCAAAGAAACAGATTAGGCTGTTCTGTTCACGAGGAGTTGATCACTGGTTTGGGGCAATTAAAAAAATAATACAGAATAACCCCAGAGATGTTATGCCTCAAGAACCAACTTGCAAATATTTTGGGTTCTAAGAGTTCTTAGGTTAATTGACCTCAAAAAGCACGTAGTACTAAAATAAAACGAAAAACTAAATACGGTGCCATAGAAAGAGGTGGAATTCAGGACTTGGTGACCAGGTTAGCATTCTAAACTTTTAACACCCCCACCCCGGTTTTGTGATGCTGTGCCCTTGCAAATAATAGAAATGATTAAAAATAATCATAGAGGGGCACCTGGGTAGCTCAGTCAGTTAAAAGCCTGCCTTCGGCTCAGGTCACGAGCCCAGGGTCCTGGGTTCAAGCCCCACGTCGGGCTCTCTGCTCAGTGAGGAATCCGCTTCTCCCTCTCCCTGCCATTCTACCTCCTTCTATGCACGCTCGCTCCTCTGTGTCCAAAAAATAAATAAAATCTTAAAAAAAAACACCCATAAAAAACACTACCAGTTTAGGGACGCCTGGGTGGCTCAGCGATTGAGCACCTGCCTTCGGCCCAGGGAGTGACCCCAGGGTCCTGGGATAGAGTCCTGTGTCGGGCTCCCTCCAGGGAGCCTGGTTCTCCCTCTGCCTGTGTCTCTGCCTCCCTCTTTGTGTCTCTCATGAGTAAATAAGTAAGTAAATAAATAAATATCTTTAAGCAAGCAAACAGACGAAACTACTACCAGTTTAACATATATAATTAGACAAAGTTAAAAACAAATCTCTTGAACGAGAAATGGTCTCTACTTTGAATACTGTTGCTTGAAGTAAAGCAGCTCTGCGTAGCAGCGGTAGAGGGACACTGTGGCTACTGTGGGGGCAGCGCTGGCCAGGGTGTACCCGGGGGTACCTGGTTGGCAGCCTGGAGTCCCCAACACGGTGACCTGGTCTGCTTACCCCAATGGCCCCAAGATGCTTTCTCTGTGTGCTCTGAAGGAAAAAAGATTGGAAGGCACTGTTGAAGGGGAGCAGGTGACCCTTCTGGGTGGTCCCAGGGCTCCTAAACCTCTGCTATCCCCTGGCCTTTGGCTCCCCCACTGACTAAGAGCCCAGAGGGGGTCTAACGCAGGGCCAGGTGCTGAGGCCTGTTCAACGAGGGTGTCAGTGCTGGGAGTTGGGCAGGAGAGGGACGTGTTGGACGGTGCCCTCTGTGGGTCCCTGTGCAAAGGGCGGCCTCCAGGGAAGGTAGGAGGCGGAGAGGAGGCAGCCCCCAAGCCAGCACCAGATCCCAGGCCTGGCAACATTGTCCCATGACGCAACAGAGAAACATCCCATCACAAGGTGTTAAAAATATTGCCATGAGGTTTGAGAACTGACTTGCAAAAGATAGAGCAGCTGAGAATGATAGAGGACGGCCTGCGAGCTCTCCCGAGAGGGCCTAGCCGTAAGAGGGCACAGAAGGAAGCCTGTAAATACCTAACTCCATCTACACATTATGCTAGGTTGGTGTTATTGTGCCCATTTTACAGATGAGGAAGCTGAGGCTCAAGAGCTAGTAGTCTCTTGTTCATCACTTCCAGCCTGGACAGCGGCAACAGCCAGGCTGGCCCCCAAGGTTCTCTCCTTTCCACCTCCGGATCCATTTACCACAATGTTCACTTACTCAATCATTCATTTATTTGTTCAAGAAATACCTATTGAGTACTGCTCTGTGCCAGGCACTTGGCTTGGCACTGGGGGCACTGGGTACTCCTGCCTTCCTAGAAAATGGATGGCAGGCAAAATAAATAGGTTAAAAGACAGAAAAAGGAGACGTGTGCGTGTGCTGGGGAGGAAAATCTAGCAAAGAAGGGGTTAAGGAGTGCTGGGCTGCAGTTTTAAGCAGGGTCACCAGAAAAGGCCCCTTTGCAAGGTGGGTACCTGGAACAAGTACCTGAGGGAGATGGGGGAGGATGCCATGCCGACAAACCCGGCTGCCTCGTGTGTGGGGCCCAGTGTGAAATGTTCGAGTGTATTAAGAATTTCAAGATGTCACTGGCAGAGCGGCAAGCCCAGCGCAGGACCCTCCTAAGCCTGGGGCCGTGGGTGACTGCACACTTGTCCCCCCCCCTCACCTGTGTACATATGGATGTTCGGGGAAAGGGCACTCCCGATGGCTGGGTGTGATGAAGGACCTACAAGGGGCCCCTGCACAGCTGGAGCAGTGGGTGGTGCAGAGGGAGGCCAGGAGAGCAGAGGGGGGGCAGGTAGAGGGCCACGGGTCACCCACGGCCTTGCAGCCACAGTGAGGACTCAGACTTTGCGTGCTGAGAGCAGGGACCCCCTGCAAAGTTTTGAGCAAAGCAAGACCTTGAAAGTGCTCTTAGAAAAACCCATCGGGGGCCCCCGGGGTGGCTCAGTGGATGAAGCTCTGCCGTCAGCTCAGGTCATGATCCCAAGGTCCCAGGATCCCTGCGGGGAGCCTGCTTCTCCCTCTGCTCCTCATCCCGCTTGTTCATTCTCTCTCTCAAATAAATAAATAAAATCTCTCTAAAAAAAAAAAAAAAAAAGGAAAAGAAATGAAAGAAAGAAAAAGGAAGAAGAAAGAAACAAGAAAGAAGAAAGAAAGAAAGAGAAAGAAGAAAGAAAGAAAGAAAGAAAAGAAAGGAAGAGAAAGAGAAAGAAGAAAGCCTTCAGAAGCTTCCCATTGCTCTTAGGATAAAATTCAAACTTAGCAGCCTTGCCTTCGTGGCTTCTTATAATCTGGCTTCTCCCCACCCTTCATCCTTCTCTCTTCCAGCCTTGCCGAGCCCCCCACCAGCCCGGGCTGGGCCGCGTTATTCCATGATGCCCTGGCCTGCTGCATGCTGTTGCCTCAGCCTGCCACCCGCTTCCCCTTCTGTTCACCCTCCTGCTCCCCTTTCCTCAAACCTGAGCTCAAGCCTCACCTCCTCTGGGAAGCCTTCCAGTGTGCCCCTCCGCCCGGGATTGAGATGCCCTTACAGCGGTGCCCGCATGCCTGATTCAGGTCTCTGCCCAGCACCTGGCTCAGAACCTGCCACATAAGTGTCCGGTTGATTGAAAAGGCCGCTGGGGCAGCGAAGGGGGCCAGATAGAGCTGCACACACGTAGGAGAGGAATTCAGGTTGGAGCCCAGGCCCGCGTGCTCTGGAGCCTCCAGTCCTTCCTCGGCGCTCCAACACCTCCCTCGGTTTGTCGGAGATGGAGAAGACTAATGTGGGTGAAAAGTTCACAAAAGGCTTCCTGGAGGAGGTGCCACGGGATAGGATGTGCCTGGTCTAGAGGAGAGGGCGTTACTAAGGGAGAGATGCACAAGCCGGGGCCTGATGGGCCCGCGTAGAGACAGGGAGACCTGCACAGCCACAGGCCAGAGGAGGCTGGCCCAGGCCCCGCGTGGCACCTCCAGGTGCCCTTGAGGCTGCAAGCAGCAGAGTCTCAGGGCAGCAGGCAGAGGGGTGCGCTGGGGCCAGCTGGGCCCGGGGCCTCACCAGGCACCCTTCTTACACATGCTGGGACCTCACGAGAAAGAAGGGACCTGCCAGGCCGCGCCCTGGGCCTTGGGAATTGGGTGCTGGGTGTCAGGGCCCAACCCTTACTGACGAGCATCCCTCTCCCCAGGCTCTACGTGCTCAAGCTCTCAGATGACATCGGGAACTTTGGGGAGGTGCGACTGCCCCTCCTCGGCTGCCTCGGTGTCTCTTGGGTGGTAGTCTTCCTCTGCCTCATCCGGGGGGTCAAGTCTTCAGGGAAAGTAAGTACCCCTCCCCCGGCAGGGTCTGCACCCACCCCGGGAGATCCGGCCTCCCTGCGGGGCGTGGGAGTGGGAGCTGGGACAGGCGGCGATGAGGGGGCACAGAGGGGAGGAGGGTCTGGAGGGCCCGAGGGGGCGCCAGGGCCCCCCCAGGGAGAGCTCGGAGGAATCCAACAGAGCCGGTCTCGCGCAGGTGGTGTACTTCACGGCCACCTTCCCCTACGTGGTGCTGACCATCCTGTTCGTCCGAGGTGTGACCCTGGATGGAGCCTTCACAGGCATCATGTACTACCTGACCCCGCAGTGGGACAAGATCCTGGAGGCCAAGGTGGGCCGTGGAGAGTGGCCTGGAGGGGTGGGGAGGGCCGAGGGGCGCTGCCTCTGACGCCCGCCGCGCGCCTCCTGCCCTGCAGGTGTGGGGCGATGCTGCCTCCCAGATATTTTACTCGCTGGGCTGCGCGTGGGGGGGCCTCATCACCATGGCTTCCTACAACAAGTTCCACAACAACTGCTACCGGTGAGCCTCTCCCTGCCAGCCCCCGGCTGCCCCTCTACCCTGCAGCTGCCCCCCAGCTTCCCCAGAGCCCCGGATCCAGTGCAGCCTCTGGGACCTCCTCCAGGGCCCTGGGTTCCACTTGTGGCCTTGAGGTCTTGGGCGCCCTGGGTCTGGATCGGGTCACTGGAGAACAGAGAGAAGAGGGTGGGGAACAGTGATGCCCAGGGGTCTGAGGCTCAGCCCACTGAAAAAGGCCCTAGAAAAGAGGTGGGGGGTGAGGGGGAAGCTCTGTTCCTAGAACTTTCCATCTCAGGTCTTCTCTCTGCCCACCTTGAACCCTGTTTTCCTCCCCATCAGGGACAGCATTATCATCAGCATCACTAACTGTGCCACCAGCGTCTATGCGGGCTTTGTCATCTTCTCCATCCTGGGCTTCATGGCCAACCACCTGGGCGTGGACGTGTCTCGCGTGGCTGACCACGGCCCGGGCCTGGCCTTCGTGGCTTATCCCGAGGCCCTCACGCTGCTGCCCATCTCCCCACTCTGGTCCCTGCTCTTCTTCTTCATGCTCATCTTGCTGGGGCTGGGCACTCAGGTAGGGGGTGCTGGTGCTGGGCACTCAGGTAGGGGGTGCTGGGGCTGGGCAGTCAGGTAGGGGTGCTGGGGCTGGGCACTCAGGTAGGGGTGCAGGCATGGGCACTCAGGTAGGGGTGTGGGTATGGGCGCTCAGGTAGGGGGTGCTGGTGCTGGGAGCTCAGGTAGGGGTGCAGGCGTGGGCACTCAGGTAAGGGGTGCTGGTGCTGGGCACTCAGGTAGAGGGTGCTGGGGCTGGGCGCTCAGGTAGGGGTGCGGGCGTGGGCCCTCAGGTAGGGGTGCTGGGGCTGGGCACTCAGGGATGCTAGGGCTGGGCTCTCAGGTAGGGGTGCGGGCGTGGGTGGCCTGCTGGGGTAGCAGGCGGGCGGGAGGCCGGGCTCTGACGGCCACTCCTGCAGTTCTGTCTCCTGGAGACACTGGTCACGGCCATTGTGGACGAAGTGGGAAATGAGTGGATCCTGCAGAAAAAGACCTACGTGACCCTGGGTGTGGCTGTGGCTGGCTTCCTGCTGGGTGTCCCCCTCACCAGCCAGGTAAGACCTGGAGGAGAGGCCGGGCGGGAGGGCCGGGGGTGGGGGAGCCTGGCCCCGGGGGTCCCCCCGACTCAGCTGCCCACGGCCCACAGGCAGGCATCTACTGGCTGCTCTTGATGGATAACTACGCAGCCAGCTTCTCCCTGGTCATCATCTCCTGCATCATGTGCGTGTCCATCATGTACATCTACGGTGAGTGCGCATCCCCCGCGTCCCCACGTCCCCGCGTCCCCTGCCCCTGGTTCAGTGGCGCTCGCTCGGCCGGGCCGGCTGACCCCCCTCTCTCCAGGGCACCGCAACTACTTCCAGGACATCCAGATGATGCTGGGGTTCCCGCCGCCCCTCTTCTTCCAGATTTGCTGGCGCTTTGTCTCTCCAGCCATCATCTTTGTAAGTTCCCGGGCCGGCGCCCCCTGGCAGGCGTCCTCGTCTCCCCATGGGTGTCTGCACCCACGGCTCCGGCCGCAGGGAATCAGAGCCGTTGCGCAGACGCAGGCGGGGCTCAGAGGCCGCTTAGAGCCCCGTCCTGGAGCTGCCCACCGGCTCCCCCAGAGGGACGCAGGGACAATTAGCCAGATGGGCATCAGCCTCCTGTCTCCAGTCCCTTAGCCCAGGTACTCGGGGCGCGGGGTACGCCACGCAAATGCACGTTCCAGTACAAGTGCTATGTCAGCTCCGGGGACGGAGGCAGTCTCCTAAGCCTTCCAGGCCCTGGAGTGGCCCGGCTCCCCCCAGGGAAGGCTCCCCGACAGGGAAGGCTCCCGCCCCACGACATTCAGCCCCCGGGAGCTCCCAGGGGGACCCCCCCACCCGCCCAGCACCAGGCGCTTTCTGCACATGGCTCACGTATCAGCTCGCGTGATAGGACTCTGCACGGGGCGTCCTCACTCCCGTTTCATGGAGGAGGAGACGGGAGGTCACAGACCCAAGTTTCCGCGGCTCATAAACGACAGAGGCCCCGCTGGCAGCAAGGGGGTCCAGGGTGGAGCCTGCGTGCGGCCCGGGCTCCACCAGAAACGCCGCAGGAAGCAGGACTGGTCCATGGACTAATCACCTGAGTTTGCTCCTCTGTGCTCAGGGCAGGAGCAGGGCCACAAAGCGTTCCTCAGTGTAATGGAGGCTCCAGGTGAAGAGGAGAGGCCGGGCCGTCTGAGGGACGGAGGGGCCAGCCTAGTGGCAAGGGCAGCATCCTGTCATGTTCCCGTCACGCCCAGCTTCTCTGGGCCACATGAAGCTCAGCAAGCTCAGCACCGGATTTCCACTTTGGCTCCTGTTTCTGGGCGGGGGGAGGCCCCCCCAGGGCTGAGGCGTCCACCACCTGGGCGGTGGGGTCTTCCCCGAGGCTGGCACAGACCCCAGCTCTGGCCACTGGCCTAGCTTTGAACAGGAGCAGCAGAAGCGTTGTGTAGGTGGAGGGAGGCCAGGCCAGGCCTGGGCGTCTAGGGGTGCGGTCGAGGCCCAGGGCCCTTCGGAGGGAGCTCACCCTCCAGAGCCCCAAAGAGGCTGCCCCCCGGGCGGAGACCTGGGGTACCAGCCCAGGCAGAGTGGGAGGCGGGAATGAGGCAGGTACAGGGGGGCTCACAGGGGCAGCTCGGCCTGGCTCCTGAGTCTCCGTGCGATGGAGGCTGCGTGGGCAGTGGCCTCTCTGCGCTCAGAGAGCCAGGCCGGAGTCTCCCGAAGCTCACGACTCCAGGCCCCGTGGCCCCGTGTTTCTGGAATGTTGTGTCTTTTTGGGGGGGCTTTACCTCTTTAGATTTCTGCAAAGCTCTTTTGGACAAACCATCTTTCTGTCCGCTGGAAAAAGGGATCTGTTTACGACTTGGTCAGCACCTAGTTCCACTCAGGAAACTTGTTTCACGTGCAGCGTCCCAGGAGGGGCCCCTAGTGCATGTGGGTCTTGCCCTCCTGAATTTGGTCACGAAGGAGACGCAGCTGAGGGCTCAGGAGGTGGACACGGAGCCCTCCTGGGGAGCGGTGCACACGCCAGGCCCCTGGGTGGCCCGTGAGCCGCCGGCCCGTCTTTCTGCTTCCTGAGTTTGCTGCTGTCGCTGCGGCCCCGGGCTTCATTTCCCGTCCCACTCCTGTCTTTCCGAAATGGCTCCGGGTCCCCAGCCTCCCCTGTGGCTCCACAGCCAGACAGGTGGGGCCTTGCCCTCTCCTCTCCCGCATTGCTCCCACCTCTCTGCACAGGCCCGTTCACATCAGCCCATGAGACTGAGACCCTGCTGCAGTCCCAGGAGGTCCCGGCCTGTGGGAAATGTTTAGCGGGTAGAAAATGCCCTGGAGAGGCCTTTCGGGAAGAGGGATGAGAAATCTGGAGAGGCTTCTTGAAGGAGGTGGCATTTGCATAGGGTCTGACAGAGGAAAGTGTAGAGGGTTCTCCAGAATCGATGAAGAGGGAGGAGAATGCTGGGTGCAGACGCGACGTTGAGACCAGAGGGCTAAGTGAGGTGCGGTGTGCGATGCTAACAGCCCTGAGGCCAGGGGTTTGGCCTTACTTACTTCGGCCTTGGTCAGTGGGCAGGAGGGAGCCCTTGCGAGTCTTTGAGCAGGACCGACTGACCTCAGAGGTGACGTCAGTTGCTCCCAGGCTGGCTCAGGATTACAGCAAAGACAGACCTCCCTGCCCACCAGGCTCTGGACCCCTGGCTCCATCTGTTCCTTCCACTCCCCAACCTTGACATTGCCCCGACCTGCCCACGATGCCACCTTGTAGCCCCGGAGACGGGAGAGGAAGGGACGGGGTGCTGGGAGGAGGATGGGAACCGGGGAAGGGCGGCTGGGGTGGTCCTGGGCAGGCCTCAAGCACGCTTGTCCCCTGCCCCCTGCAGTTCATTCTTATCTTCACGGTGATCCAGTACCAGCCAATCACCTACAACCACTACCAGTACCCGGGCTGGGCTGTGGCCATCGGCTTCCTTATGGCTCTGTCGTCTGTCATTTGCATCCCTCTCTATGCCCTGTTCCAGCTCTGCTGCACAGATGGGGACACCCTCCTCCAGGTGAGGGGTAGGTGTACCCGGCGGGAGGGGGCGGGTGGATGGGGCTCCCCGGCTCCCTCCTGAAGCGCCCCCCCTACCCCCATGTCTGCCTCTCCCACAGCGTTTGAAAAATGCCACAAAGCCAAGCAGAGACTGGGGCCCTGCCCTCCTGGAGCACCAGACTGGGCGCTATGCCCCCACCATACTGCCGTCTCCCGAAGATGGTCTTGAGGTCCAGCCGCTGCACCCGGACAAGGCCCAGCTCCCCATGGTGGGCAGCAATGGGAGCCGTCTGCAGGACTCCCGGATTTGAGCACAGCTGGCCCTGGGAGTGCCCGCCCCGCCGGTGCTCCCACCACAGAGACTGGGGAGGCAGGTGACGGGTGTCGCCACCTGCCCCTGCCACGCCCTGGCTAGGGTGGCTGCTGTCCCCTTGGTTGCCACTGGTAGCGTGGTCATTTGTGCTCGTGTCCCCAGTGTTTACAGGTCCTTTGGATGCCAAGATGGCAGCTGGGGATGGGTGTGGGTGATGGGGGGGTGTCCGGGGGGGGGCGCTCAAAGCACTTTGGAGGGGGGTCTCAGGCCAGGTCCCCAGAGATCTGCTGGGCTTTACATGGCCTCTGATGCCCCCACACTCTGCCCTGAGCTGAGGTTCTAGGTGGGCCCCTACCTGTTCCCCTCCTTGGGCCTCCACCTCCTGACCAGTGTTCCTGCCCTCAGAGCAGACCCCGGCCTCCACCCGGGCAGATTTGGGTCTTCCTATCTGGGGCCAGGGTGAGGAGCTGAGGGGGCTGTACAGTGTTACTTGTCAGGCTGCGCTGCCCAGCCCTGTTTGTCTGTGTAATTATTTTTGTAAAAATCGTATTCTCTGTGATTGCCATTCCCATGCCCCCAGCCGCGGGCCCCATTTGTCTTCCAGGCCTGCCTGCACCTCACTCGGCTGCCCTGGGGTCTCTGCGCCTCATTCCAGCCCTGGCTGTCAGGCCCAGCCAGCAGAGGCCCATGACCCAGCAGCCTGCCCAAAGCACTAGTTTCTGGGGGGTAGGGGTGGGGTGCTCCTTAGCAGGAGGTTTGAGCCCAGAGCCCCGGGGAAGGGGACCTTACATGAAACCCCCTTGCCCTGCCTCCACCAGGCAAAAGGCCCAGGATTCCCAAACTGGGCTGCCCTTGTTCATGTGCCAAATGGCCCCAGCCCGCGTGCCCCATCCCCTCTCTGGAGCCCGAGCTCATTCCCCCCAAGCCCTGCAGTGTCCGTTTGTCTGTCCTCTGTGCCGTGACAGCCCCGGAAGAGCCACCTCTAATCCTCTGTAGCAATAACGGTGCACCACCCGCCCGTACCCATCTGTGTGCACCACTAGGATTTTAAAGTCCATAGATTTTAATGAAATTTCTATTCCTGTCTCTGAGCTGCTGCTGTGCTTTGTCTGAGTCCCCCAGGGGGACAAGAGTCGGGGCTGGGATGAGACCTCTGCCTGCCAGGCCTTTGTGGAGAGCCGGGAGAAAGAGGGCCAAAGGTTCTGATTGTCAGAACCGGGCACTAGGGACTTGGCGAGGGGGGTGGGGGGCAAGGGCCAGAAAAAACGGACAGTGTTGGTGTCCTGGCAAGGGCCCATCCGAGACCAGATCTGAAGCAGGCTGGGCCATAGCGGCGGAGAGGCAGCAGCTGGCGTGAGGTCCAGCAGAAGCTGAAGCCTCCCTCGTGACCAGCCCCTCAGGTGGGGGCCTGAGCTGCTGCGCTGGACACTGGAGCAGAAGCTGGCTTTGTCCGCGGGCCGCACTGAAGCTGCCGTCCCCAGCGGCAGGCAGTGGCCAGGCCTCGGGGTTGGGGGTGGTGCCCCGGAGGAGGAGCAGGCCGGCAGCACTGGAGAGGCCCAGCCCAAGCTCCTGAAGCCCCATGGAGGCGAGGCACGGGCCCGAGACCCTGGCTGGAGGACCCCATGGGCTGCTGCCTGGTCGGAAAGAGCAGCGGTGAGCCAGCAGCGGCCTGAGCCTCAGCCCACCCTGTCCAGCCAGCCAGGTGCTCTGGTTTACCTGCGGCTGGAGGAGGCGCAGGGGGGCCTCAGAGGTGCCTGCAGCTCCTGTTGCATGGCTGCCTTCTGTTCCTTTAGCTCTGCAGCAGAGAGGTATCTCTGAGACACAACTCGTAGCAGTTCTGGGGTGTGTACAAGTGCGGGGTGGACAGCAGGAAGCTGGGTGCTCTGGGGCCTACGTGGGGTCCTCACCTGCCAGGGTGGGCTCTAGGGTTGCCTCAGAGGGCTGGGGTGCCCCTGTATACTCCTCTTCCAGGCAGCGCTGCAGGGAGAGCTGGCTCAGTGCCCCAGCCTTGGACGCAGAGGCCAAGATCCCCATGGCAGGACCCCAAAACTGTCCAGGCAGTCTCGGGGGAGCACCAGTCCCCCCACCCCCCTGAAAAGCCCCGCTGGGTGAGGTGGTGGCTGGCTTGGACTCAGACTTAGGGCAGGTAAGGAGGCAAAGACGGGGCAAGTTCAGCAAATTAATCTAAAGTGCTGACCTTGGACTTGGGGGCTCACCAGAATATTCTGGATTCATACACACAATAGGGACCATGCACATGTAAGAAATGGCCTCAGGACTCACACACCTTTACATGCACATATGCACACAGACACACATGTATGTGGGTCTCACACACCAGTGAGAGGCAGCTGCGTCTACACTCAGCAGGAAGGCTCTGGGCAGGGCGGCCCATGGCTGCAGCTCACCTGCAGGATGGGGACCATCCTCTCCAAGGTGTGACACTCCTCCTCCAGGAGGCTCCTGGGACACATGCGAGTGTGGCAGCTGGGACCAGCGCCACAGGACCCAGCCCCACCCCCACCAGGCCCTCCTGCTTCACCCACCCTGCTCTCGGCCCCAGCCTTCCACCCCCCACCTGCCTCTTCTAGGGCAGGTTGTGTCTTCCCCACACCTACCGCACAGCACCCACCATCCTCTCTTCTTATTGCAGGGGCCTCCTCTGGCCTCCCTCCTCCCCCACATCACAGCCCTTCCTCAGCTTGAAACCCTCCCATGGTGCCTCCTCTCAGGATAAAAATCCTCAGGCTGGCCCCCTGGCTTGACAACTTCCTGGCAGCAGCCACTGAGGCCCTGCAGCAACCTGCCCTTTCCACCTCTCAGCCTCCCCGTCCTGGCCTCCCACCAGGTGTGTGGCCTCCTTCCCCTCTCCCCGAAGCTCGGTCTCAGTACTTCAAGACCTGCCCCAGCCCCATCCTCCCTCTGTCCACCCCCCACGTACACTCGGGGGGGGCCTCACCGCAGGTGTCCAGCAAACTGGTCGATGCTGGACACGTTCAGCTGGTCCTTGATGACGCTGAGGTTCCTCTGACCACTGCTGGCAGAGGAGGTCAACATCACTCTCCCCAGGTTGCCTCACCCCAGGCCTTCGGGACACAAATGCCACTCCTAGACAGTTCTGTTTCTTTTCTTGAAAAGGCAACATATAGAGCGCAAAGGAGAGGAGTCCCGGAGCCTGGGTTTGCAAATGGGCTCCCTCACCCTTCAGTGTGTGTGACCTTGGGCGAGTCGGTTACCCGTTCTTTTTTTTTTTCCGGTTACCCGTTCTGAGTTTTAGTTTCCTCCTCAGTAAAAGGGTGCTGTCACTCCCTCAAAGGGTTGTGTGAGAACCAGAACTAAGTGGCTACTGCCATTCACTTAGGAACACCCTCATTTGTCTCATTCGGTCCCCTGGGCTCTCTAGCCCAGCTCCTGTTGACCCTCACATGTGGTTGTGGGGGGTCCAGCTCCAGGCCAGGAGCTTCTCCACGGAGCCAGGTGGAAGCCACCAGCTGGCTGGGCCCCTGCCAAGTAGGGAGAGATCCCTCCTCTCCTACCACCACTTCACCTGGGTTCACTCCTCATCTGGATTTTCTGTTCTGGCAAATCACACCTAGGCTCCTCCAAGGCAAAGCGCAGGACCCTGGGGCTGTACTGGACCCAAGCCTGGGTCTGGTCCCTGTGGAAGGTGCACAGGAAAGTCAGGGGCTCCTTCCTAGGGACCACCGAAGGCAATCCTGGCCCCTTTTCAGGCGCAGGGCAAGCCCCCCTTAGCCCTAGGTCCGAGGTTCCCACCTGCCCTCGCGGATGGCCTTCTGGCGGAGACTCAGGAGCAGCTGCCTCAGCTCCTGGCGCAGGAGGTCTCTTAGGAGGGGCGGCGGTGCCAGAAGCCAGGAGGGCTCAGAGGTGGGGCGGGAGCCCGAGGCTCGGGAGGCTCGAGCCTCCCGGAGCAGGGCCTGTAGCGTCACCACCTGCAAGGAGAGCTGGCACACCTTGTGAGGGGGGAGAGCAGTGACGGGAGTGGAGGGGGCTGGGGGACCTCATGAGGGGCAGAGCGCAGTCTAGAGGGCTGGGCGGCAGGACCTCGGGAGTTCTCGGGCAGGACGGGGGGCCCGAGGGGAGGTGGGGAAATCACCCGAGTCTTGGGACAGGCCTGGAGTGTGGCCCCTCCGCCCACGCCCCACCTCTGCCCGCAGCTCCAGGCTCAGGTCCACCGTCGTCTCCCCCAGAAGCCTCTTCACTTCGGGCCGCTCCGGGAGCGGAACGTGCTCCTCCACCAGCTCCCACAGCGACGGGGAGTCCCGGAGCATGGCCCGCCCGCGCCGCCGCCCCCCGGCGAGCGGCCCCAGGCTCGCACCTGCGGGACAGCAGGGGCCCCGCAGCGTTACCGGGAGAAGGCGGGTGGCCGGGGCTGGCCCCGCCCCTCCCCGGACCCCGCCTTCCAAGGCTCCGCCCCTCCCCGGCCTCCCGGGCCCCGCCCCTTCCCGGCCTCCGGGCCACGCCCCCAGAGCCCCGCCCCTCCCCGGGCCCCGCCCCCGGCCCGTCGCGCTCCCCGGCGTCTCCCAAGTCCCTCAGCTCCGCCGCCAGTCTCGGCGGAATCACCGGGCCCGGAGCCGCCTGTCTGGCGCTGTCCCTGCTGCCCCGCTTCGGCCGACTCTCGCGGGCCGCGGCTCCCGGTCACCGCTCGCCCTGACCTCCGCGCGGCCGTCACCCGGGAAACCGCGCCGCTCCGGGCCCCGCCCCCAGGCGGGGTGGGCGTGGCCAGCCAGCGGGGAGGCGGGGCCTGCGGGGAGCTCCGCCGCCCGGCGCTCCCGGCTCCTCTCCGGGCAGCTCTGGGGCGGGTGGGAAGAACCGAGAAGCCGGGGCCCACCGGGGGGACTGCTCGCTGCCTCTCCGGGCCCGGCCCGCCCGACGGCCTAGGCCAGTGGCCCTCCCGCCGCACACGCGGGGTCTGGGACCCGGGACCCAGCTTCCCCAGCGCCAAGCAGACAAAGGGGCTGCTCCATTCACGTTTTTTACTAAAGCACCCACACAAGTTTCTGTGCAATGTACAAACACCGAGCCGGCCCTGGGGCTGCTGCCTTCTCTCTGAGACAGGGAGGCGGGGACCAGACTGACGGATCCAGGCCCCCTCCCCCGCCCCCCATGCAAAGCCCAGCCCCAAGATCCCAGGCAGCGACACAGCACCCCCTCTGGTCCCCTCCTGGGGCTTCTCTTCAGCAGGGGGCGCACCAGAGTTTGCCCCTACAATGTTGAATGAAAAAGGTTTCCCCTCCCCTGGGAGCGCGGGGGATCCCCAGGTCTGAGAATTCCCCCTGGAAGCCACACTGCCCCCTAGTTGTACCTCCTACTCTTCCAGGCCCTAGGGGACTCGAGGGGGGAGAAACTGAGGCACAGAGAGGTGGAGTGACCTAGCCCGGGCCACTCGGTGAGGCAGTGCAGGGGCTGGGCCGACCCTGACAGTGACGGAGGGCTGGGCTGGAGAGGGAGGGACAGGACGAAGAGTTGACCCCAGAGAGGGCCACACTGGAGGGGCTCGCCCAGGTTGGAAGTCCCCCAAAGTAGGTTCTGAAACTTCCAGGTGCAGCTGGGGGGGCCTGTGGAAGACCCTCCGAAAGCAGAGCCCACAGTCTGAGTCCTGGGGGATCTCCCACAGAGTAGTCGCCAGCCAGGCTATATAGTATATAGGTCAGTCCTCCGGCAGACAATCCTTGGCACTGGGAGCCTTTACCCATTAGCTCAGCCCCGAGGGGGCCATGACGGGGGCCGCCCAATGTCCACTGTGATATTGGTGAAGAGTGGTTGCCGAGACACCTCCAAGACCTGGTACCGCACTGACCCGATGCCATCCCGCTTCATGGTCAGCTTCGTGTTTTGGATCTTGGTAAACCTAGATAGGATGGAAGTGGGTCCAGATCAGGGCTACCCAATAAACCCAGTATGGGGTCTCTGGGGGTAAGGCTCAAGCCACCCTGGCTTCTTCCAGGGATGACTCAGTTCTCCTCACCAAACCCTCTGCCCGTCACCTGCTTGGAGCCCTTTTGCTCTGGCATCTGCCTTTAAAACAGAGATCTTCTCCCCTCGAGTCCAGAATTGGGACACCCTCACAAATCTCTCTCTGATCTCAGGCTCTTCTCAGCCTTAGACCCAGACACGGGCATCCCATAGGCACCTCAAAGGCAACTTGTCCTGCGTCGGGTCATCATCTGTGCTCCCTAAGTCCCTCTTCTCTCTTGGCTATCTCCTCCGTCCCTCACCACTTACTTACTGAGCAGTCCCCCCCAGTGCCAGGCTCTACTCGTAAGTACTAGGGACACAGTCAGGGACAGGGCACTAAGTCCTTCCTCTCATGGCAAGTCTGTTCCACCAGGGAGACAGGCAACCGACAAGGGATGCATCAGAGTGCTAAGGGAGACAGGGGAGGGAGACGGAGACGGCTGCCTTGGAAGGGGTGAGCCTGTGACACCAAGCTGACAGCAGGGGGGAGAGCATTCCAAGCAGAGGTCAGCACACGCTGACCCTAACCTGGAAATGAGAAGTTGCACAGCCAGTGGTTAGAGCTTCATGGGCCAAGGGCTTAAGAACAGCTTGGAGGCTAGAGCATGTCGGGGTGGGGCTCTGTAAGTCAGAGGATGCAGGTTTTTTATTTGAGGAGTGAGAAGACAGGGATTTTTTGCCCAGTGGGAGGCCGGCGGGGACGGCCAGAGGACACCAGCCACAGGAGGACAAGGACGAGAGGAAAACAGGGACACTAGTGAGAGGCCACTGCAGCAGCCCTGACAGGATGACAGAGGCTGTACTAGGGCAGAGGTGGTGAAGGGAAAAGTGGATGGGCTCAGATCTGTTTTGGGAGTGGCACTGACACCACCTGCTGGTGGTATAGACATGTAGGGTCAAAGAAGAATCCAGGAGAACTAGATTTGGGGCAAAGGCGCCTAGGTGGATGGAACCAGCACCCAGAGAGTTCTTCAAGCTAGAAATGCCTTGCCGTCTGGCCACTTCCTCACCCAAGGCAGACATCACTAACTCATGAGGACACCTTGGCATGTGCTTCTAGAGCTCCACTCCCACCCTCATCCCAAGTGTTCTGATCCTCCCCTCCCAGTCCTTCTGAGCTCGACTCAGATCCTCCTCCCCCCCCCCAACCCCCCCCCCCCAACCTGGAGCCATCCCAACACAGAGCACGCTCCCTCAGACGCCCCGCAGCCCCTCTTCTCCCTGCCCTGCTCGCCTCGGTTTCTATCTGAACTGCTTTTTCATCAGCTCCCTGGATGCCCAGGGCTTCGTGCTCCTGCCAAATGCCGGCCCTCTGCTGCTGCTGCAGCCTACCTCCCCACCCTTACACACTGTTCCATCCGGGGACACGGCAGCCTCACATCCAGCACACCCCGGGGCCCCCAATTCCATCAAGCCTGGTCAGCTTCCTTCCAGGCCCACCAGCCCTTCACCTTCTTCACACTCACAGGGTGGTCCTTTCAGACCCAAATCTGATCCTGCTCCTTCCCTGCTCAAAGTCCTTCCACGACTCCCCGGTGCCCTGGGCACAAAAGTAAAACTCCCAACCTGGGGTTTGACACCCCAAACAGCCAGCACTGACCCCTCTACGGTCACTCCCAGCCTTCAGTGACTGTAAAACAGAGTTTCAGACTCTCAGCGTATATATCATGCAAGTTCACATTCCAGACTCCTGCAAATACTATGCCTTTTCTCCAAACTGGCCTCCTCCACTAGCCTGGTGAATACAGCACTGTGCCCCTGGCCGGTGGGCGACAAATACTTGTCCAATGGATCATCTTCCAAAGTCTAGTTTACCATCACCTCCTCCAGGAGGGCCTCCCACCATCACTCCCTCTTCTGCGAGGACAGCACCTTGCCCTGATCACCTTGTGCTACAACTGCCTGTCTCCCTCCCTGGAGTGAACCTCACCATGGGATGTCCTGCAGGGACTGGCTCCGGGCTCCCCCCACCCCCCACCTAGGTTAGAGCAGTGCCAGGAAGCCCTGGTCTACACTGCACATGCCCCAGGTGCTTCTCCCAGCCAGCACCGGACACCAAATGTTGCTACACCCCCAGGGACAGAGCGGCCTACTCGGGTCTCAGAGGGCTCAGCACTGTCTTTCGGCGCCCGGCCCCATGCCACTCAAGGCCACCTCTGTTGGGTCCCCAGGCCCTGGAGCTGTGCCCAGTGCCTGCTAGCTCTTGTCCTATCTGCTCTGGCACGAGGGAGGTCTGTGAGGACACCGACGGGAATGTCATCGACTCGTGATGATTTGAACCCTGCCGTTACATTGTTGTCACCTCTAGGAATGAGGCCAAGGATGATAGAAGTCTGGGGTGAGGCTGAGCTAGGGGCTGGGGAACAGGGAGCAGGGGCGTGGGGGCCATCTCTAGGAGTCAAGGGTCAGGGGCCTTGGGATCACGTCTGGGGATCAGTGGCACCGGGGAGTCACTTCTAAGGAGCAAGGGAATAGGGGCGCTTGGGGTCACCTCTGCGGGTTGGGCTCGTTATGCTTGTCCCGGTCGTGCTTGATCATGCGGTAGCGGCCTATGCGGATGTCTGGGCGCGAGATCTTCATCCCAGTCAGGGAGATCCTGGGGATGGGGACAGATGGGCTGGAGCAGGCACCAGGAAGGGCAAGGAGCCTCGCCCAGTCTGTGCTGCACCTTCTGCACCCGGTCGACTCCCCGCCCCACCCCACCCCTACTCACCGGTTGAAGATGTCGTCATCCTCGCCACCCCAGCCCCAGTACTCATTGGGGAAGCCGTTGATTCTCAGAAACTGGGCTTTACTCAGGCCTGACACGCCTCCAAAGTAGCCAGCATAGGGCAGCCTGTGGCAGGGGAGGGCAGGTGTCAGTGAGGGGCCTGAGGGGACTCCAGAGGGAAGGCCAGAGATGGGGGGGTGTGGGGGAGAGTGTGCTACAGGGGCCGGAGGCAAGGGGGCGCTGGGTGTGGCCGGGGCAGGGGTGGTGGCGGCGGGGGAGTCTGGATCTAGCTGAGAAGGGAGCCCTCACCGGAAACCAAACTTGTCCATGGCAATGGCAAAGTGGCGGGGCTGGTCACCACAGCGGTACAGGTTGCGGTCATCCATGGGGACCAGGTCCACGTCACTGAAGATGAAGCAGTCGTAGGTGGCATCCTCCTTCAGCGCCTCTAGGAAGCCTACGTTGAGCAACTTGGCCCGGTTGAAGGTGTCCTCACCGTGCTGGGGTCGGTGCAGGGGACAGGTCAGCTCTGGGCCTGTGACTGGCAGGCACCTGCCACTTTAGCACTGTCCAGAGTGGTCCCCAAGGACCTGCCACTCCCCTGCCTCCCCCACCCCACTCTGAGTGGC